AACAAACTGTATTCTACAGCCAAAGAGTTCCATTTTCAAATGTTGTAATGACTTTTTAAATATTGTTAATAATTGTAAGTGACCAGTTCCGGAAACTTATAATGCGCCCTATGTAGACGATTGATATAACAACGTTTAATCTAATATACCGATGGCATCATGTTCATTTTATATTAAAACTTCAGATATAACATTCACTGAGTATAAGGTATTATTAATATAATTCAAGTGCTAATTTGGTACAATGGTGGCATTATAAAGGGCGCTACAACTTCGTAAAACGAAATATTGAGTTATATTATTTAATGCATTATACTGGTAGTACTTATACCAATTGTTCATTATGTCACCTAATCATCATAACTAGTGTTTGCTTTACTAAAGGTATATTATTCACATTGAAGTTATGCCTTTTGTTGATATAACTTTTGTTGATTATATACAGTGAGTGATTATACCCTTAAAAATGATGTCATATGTGGTTATACAAAGTGAAAATAGATTATTTGTTGTTATATTTTCCATTACACAAGAGGGTGCCTCAGTGTTAACTCCAATTAAATTTGAAGAAAATATTCCATTTTTAAGGGTGGCAAACGAGGGGATGAATTCCTTCACTTTCCGGCAACCGATTTCAATAAAACTTAGCAAATAGATATAATTCGACGAACTTTTGAATTCGGGTTTTTTCTTTTATAAAAAAGTTCTATCACATGAAAATAATAAAAACAATAGGACTTACATGAGACAAATTATGCGTATGTACAGTCATATACACAAGATACCTAAAGAAGCCAACTCCGTCGACCTTTTGGTTCTGAGCACAAAAATAGGGAGAAAATTGTTAAACAAAACTTATTCTTTAACCTGTGAGCTGTAAAATTTATTTTGGTATGACTCCCTGGTCGTCTCATTAGTTAATGATATTGTAAGAAAGTTTTTAAGCCAATTTGATCCTTAACGTATGGTTCTTACTTAAAATACAGAATACAAATTTCAACCAGCGTTAGTAAGCGGTCGTGACCTAGCAGTATAAGAATTGATTTGCAAGTTGAGGCAAGCATGGTTGGAGTCACATTTAAAATGAAACATTGATTCGCTATGACTATATAATATTGTTTTTTTTTTGTTTTTAACCTCTCTGTACAGAACAATAATTTCTAATTTTATTAATTCCGTTTAGTGCGGCATATTAACAAGAAAGAAAACTTTGAAACCTTGGAAGTGTTCAAACTGAATAGATAAATGGGAACGAAACGTGGAACAATGCGTAATCACAGAATACACAATCGTATGCAAACTGCAGAGCGATTTCGTGATTTGTTAATTTGTTAATCTATCCATGCCCGCCCTATGCTTTATTAATAACATCTACCCACCCATCTTAGGTAATTTCTAGTGAGCAAATATTGTGGTTTGTCAACGTTAACATTAAAAAGTGAAACAATGCTGTTAAAAATATAACAAAATAGTGCTCGTGGAATCGAACCACGGGTATTGTACTTGGTACTTGGTGTAACGGGCTGGTGTCCGCAACTCGACGACAAGGCGCCTATTTTGCGTGTGGTAACTAGTAGTAACACGGGTATTGTA